ATACACACACACCTATGAAATCAGCTTTAGAAAATCCTTGGCCCGTATTTGTTCAGTTACCCTATTAAGAACAAAGCCGATCACACTTGCATCCAGCTCTGGGTTGAGCAGTGGCTGGTGATGCCTATACATTCTTTAGTGTTTAAGCACTGGCACATAGAATTAACTGCAAAATGCCTAAGCAAAATAGAATAGTTTCCATTTTGATCTTTAATCTGTGGCTTTGCACCTCACTGCAACTATTTGCCTTTTTAATGGAATGGCTAACCTTTAGGGCAGTTTCTTCTATTTTTGCAATCCTGGGGACCTGTTTTATAAATCCAACTAGGATTTCATTATTTGCCGGGACTATTTAACTACAGAAATAACCTCAAGAACCCATGATTCCTAATGTGCTAAAGTTTTCATACTGGGTCAGTTTTAAATAGACTTAAAGCCTTTGTGACAGCTCACCCCTCGGTAAGAAAAAAGAGGAAGCAATGATGACAATCAGTGAAAAACCTGCCTCGTGAATTCTGTTTTAGCTCTTTTAAGCTTTATAAGAGAATCCCGTGGTAATACAGCATCAAGTACAATCTGTAATTGTAAACACACACACACACACACACACACACACACACACATATATTTGGAAGGGAAAATCCCCTTTAAAATGAGCCTCCAAGGAATTGCTTTTATCTCTTCAAATAAACTATTAATTTTAAGTTGTTCTTTGAAAACAAAAATTGATGCTAATGTAAATGTTTTAATTTTTTCCACATATATTTTTTCCATGAAGAAATTCTCTTATCACAAGCATATTTTTTTCCGTTTAGTGGTTTAAGGGTTTTGGCACGGGAAGGTCAACTCAACTCCTCTTTTATTGTCCACAGACGGTTCACAAGCTCCTCAGGAGGCTTCATCTGATGCCCTACAAGGACAGAGCTACCTCTTTGTGCAGTTATGGCACAAAAAGAAAATTATCCACGGCACTGGCCTTGATAGGGAAACCTTCCATTCTACTGCTGGTAAGAGACTCGTTATGAGAAGGGCTCCTGCATAATCAGGACAGCATATGCCACTGTGTGCTAGCATTTCATCATCGTGATCGCAGTCAACATATATTGAGGTCTCACTGTGTGCTAGTTATTGTGCAAGGCACTTTCCTTATACTATCCTATTAAGGGAATTTCTATCAGCAAATAATTTGTAACCACAACAATATGCCCTCAAAAATGTTTCGTCTGAAGCAATGGGCTCAGTGGATTTCAGAGGAAACGCTGGCATGGGAATGGGAAGTAGCTGAAACAAATTCAAATAAGTAAAGTTATGAAACAGGGTAGATTTTGATTCCCACCTCTTGAGGAAATCATGTCTCTTTTTCTATTAGGAACTGATTAGTCGAACTAACATTTTCCAGCTTCTACTGTGGAGGACAGGCACATTTTAGGACAATGTATTATGCTAAAATTGTATTTCCCTGTTACTTAAAAATATGAGTTATCTAGCTTGGGATATGATTGACAATATACCATACTAGCTTATTTGAATTTGGAGGGGCAAGAAATGTATTCCACATTTATATTTCTGTTAATATGTCTGAGGTGTATTAATAATATATT